TTTTCATATGACAAGAACGCGACATGAAACAATGTCAGGTTTTTCGTTACCAACATTAAACGAGCCAATTAATACACGAAAAATGATCAAGAGTACAAAAACAAAAGGATAAAATAAAATAAACATTTAGTTTATGTAATTCATAATTAATCTTACAAAATAAGACAAACAAATGTTAATATCATATTGAAATTTAAACATGAACACCACACAACATCGTATTTTTTAAACTTGATACGAACACGAATTTAAAAATCAATGTCATCCCAATTTCCTTTCATATTATTTATATTTTTACCCTTAACTAAAATATCAAATATGAAAGCCATATGTTTTAAGATGATTACTCTTTCAACTTCCACAAACTTCACTAAAAAGCTTCCCGTGAATTCGCTATGTTGCTTTTCCACAAAAGTGATATTTTTAGGTATTCACGGCATACATTTACTACGCGAAATTAATTTTATAGCATATCTACTCAACTATCAAATTTATGGCTCACAAACAAAATATTAATTACACCAATTGCAATGCATCAAAAACTAAAAAATCCAAAAGATGAGATCTCACAGCTTTCTTATATATCTTTAATACATTTCAATATTGTTTATCGCCTTTATTCGTGTGTCACGACACATTTTTTGTCCAAAAATGGCCTGAATTCAAGTTTTGAGTTGACCGTTTTATGCAAACTTTTTTTACAGTGTTAATATCTACTTTGAGGATGGAGAAATTGTGTTGGATAAAAATAGGCTACTGCCTTTACGATATTAATCATACAAAATATAAAGTTCATTGATTTCTTTGACATGTTAATAAATCATATTTTATGAAACATCTCTCCTATGGACGAAAAGAAAGGATGTTATCTTTTAAAATATTAAAAGCATTTAAAAAATTATCAATGTAGAATTTGGTCCCAAAAACTTATGTTATAGTTTCAAGTTCAAAAGTTTTAAGTACCATGGTGATTTGATAATTATCATAACAAAAGTTATAAATGAGGCACCACATATTTGAGGCCTTCTAAATGTCCTAACTCCTAAGCTAGATTTGTATCACCAGTTTCCGAGATTATCCAATTGTTTGTTGGAGGATTTCAAGTTTTAGAGGTTTTGGGAAAAGTCTGAAATCATGGGGTGACCTTAGGATAGACACAGCATGAGCTTTAATGAAATTCAAGGCGTGAGTCTTGTGATTTTCGGCACGACCTTGTTGAAATGAGAAATCCTAATTTTCGAGTCTTGTGTCCTATTTAAAGGCACTTATCTCTAGGGTTGCCTCATTTAGACAACCTTCACTATCAAAACGTTCCTCTTTGCAAACAATAGCCTCCCTTTGTGTTCTTGAGTTGATTTCATCCTTTTTGGTGGAGCTTAAATGTGGTGAAGGTGTTCTTTGGTGCAAAAAAGTGTTGTAGAAGTTTAGATCCAACAAGTGCTTCTCATCTTTGGATCTTGGAGGGTATAAAGCTACCACATTTATGTTCTTTATGTTTAGATCTAGCTAGTTTTAGGAGTTTTGTTCCCCTAATCATGTTATTCTTGGAGTTTGAGCAACTCCAAGATCTTGCATCAATTATGAGTTGATTTCTGGACATTTTGGTGTTAGAAAGTTGAGTCGAGACTATTTGGAGTTCTTTTAATTTTAGGGTTTGAGGTTTTGTTCATTTGAGCCCAAGGAATGGATAAAGTTGGAAACTTGATCCATTCAAGCCTTTAGAAGATTCAGATATGAGATTTTAAGCTCTGGAATTAATGGTTTAAGGACTTAAGGAAATGTTGGTCCAGACGAGTTTTTGAGCTATGGACTTAGTCACGACTATTTTGTCTCCTAGTAGTCATGGTGTGACCAAGATTTGCCACAGTGTGAAGACCATTGATCGTTGACTTTTTGACCAATTTGAAATTGGTTAAATTGGGGGGGGGGGGGGGGGGGAGTTATAGACTAGGTTTTAGCTTATGATTGGTAAGACGGTTTGTGTAGCTGATTTGTTGGACATCAGGTAGTTAGATCTAGCTCTTTAATTTAGGTGAGTCTTCTCACTATACTATGTAGGACACTAGGTGCAATGGTATGCTAGACTAGTAGGGTCTTGTTGCTTGTTTATATGCTTACATATTTTGTTGGGCAAGGCTTGTTCGGTTAAACGGGCCCATTGAGCGAGTCTCGTTAGGTCGACACAACTTCTCTATCTTAACTTGTGATTATGAAATTAGTATCAAATTCGCCAAACGAAGTTGGTGTACAATATCTAATAGCTTAAGTAGGACTTCTCATCACCAATTCCATTATTAGAGATGGAATAACTCATTCTAATGGTGAAGTGGTGATACATGATGGGTTTCATAGGTTATCAAAATCATGTAAAGCAGAAAATCCTAACACTTAAGTTCACATGCAATCCATAAAGGATCTATATTTTCTCTAATTCATAGCAACATACTATGAATATCAAGAACCCTAATGAAACCCCAATAATTTCAAGAATCATACAAGAGTTAGGGTTACATACCTTTAGATTTATTATAGCAAATAAATATTTGATCCTTTCATTTGTGTCTTTAGAAAGCAAGCATCAAAAGTATGATGCCTCTAATAGCTCTCTAAAGACAATCTCTCTTATTTTGGAAGAACACCCATAATATATACTCTCATACTTTGACATATGACAAAAATAATCCCTTATAAATCATAATTCCAATATTTGACACCATTTCCCCAAATTCTATGCAGACACCAAAATGTTTCACTTATGGTCCTTCTCTAGCACATTCTATGACATTTAGGTTATACTCATTTAATTTAGTCACACACATTCTCTAAATTTTCTAATTATCCAAATATCACTACTCTGATATTTGTTTTTAATTAGGTAGAATTTCATATATACCCTTATCAAAATATCATATTTGTCTAAAGTAATTTCTAAATACCATATTTATTCTTCATAAAATTTTAAAATACTATATATATATATATATATATATATATATATATATATATATATATATATATATATATATATAATTCTTAAACATTAAAATATCATATATGCTCTTCATAAATATCAAAATATCAAATGGTAATATCTAAAATATCATCCATCTACAACATGATAATATTCAACAACAACAAAATCTAAGCAATCAATGTATAAATTCCATGAAAAGAGTTGAAAATAAAGTGTTTTGTTTGTCAAGAGAGCAATATTTCGATAATTTAGAAGTAGATGGTACATTATTATAGATGTAGGGATAATATGGTAAAAAAAAATTATTATAATAAATTTAATATATAATGAATGATTATGAACTATTAAAAAACATTGTAACAAAAAGATTTGGACAAATATGATATTTTAAAGACTTATAAAAGGTACATATGGTGTTAAGAAATTAAGTTGGGTAATTATTATTATTATTATTATTATTACTAATTTCACTTGTTTTATTTATTTATTTAAAATAAAATAAATTAACCCTAAAAATAGGATGTTACATTTATGCCCTCCAGTTATTCATATTGTTTTTTATACTAACTTGAATACTTCAGCATCATATTCTAATATGGGAACTTCTAAAATTTTAAATTGATTAAATGGAACTTATTACATGACGGATTCTAATATGGGAACTTCTAAAATTTTAAATTGATTAAATGGAACTTATTACATGACGGGAAGAGGAAATAAAATAAGCAAATTCATGTAGAATAAACGAGATGGTTTCAACTGCAAATCATTAGGATCCTATATAAGATGTTTTTAGCTTTGTAAGATCACACTGTGATCCTAAGATCCTACCAAAAATGACACAATTATAAGTTTAAATAATGAAAAATATATTTTCTTCGTCCATCACAGTAATTTATGTGTAATTGACCATATGAAACTTATAGCATTAAGCAGAAATTAGAACACGGGACTTCAATCTAAATCCTAAAATCCCATAAAACATGACAATTTCAAGTGTAAATGATAAAATAAAAAAAAATAAAAATAAAAATAAAAAATCTTTCATTTGTTGTCTATGGTTAAAACGTTTCAAAAGGGTAACTTCGTTAGAACATAGTGTATGTTATGTTTACTGTAGTTAGCTATCAACACATCTTTGCAAAAAGATATGAATGTGTATAAGAGATATATTTATCATCATAAACGTTTACATCAATGTATATTATGGTGTTGTATCTGCAAAAGCTACATGATATTGTACATATTGATGTTGTATTTTATCCTATGAATTCAATCTTAAAGCTAAGTAAACTCAAAAATCACAGCACTTATGATTCTACTCGTTTACAGACTTGTCTAGAATCCATAATATAATGAATCATTTGATTGGAAATATAAATATAATTATGAAACGCACCTGCTTAGTCAAGATTCCCCTAATAAATATTCAAGTGCATTGCAAAGTTGTACATATATAAATAATTTTCTTTCTTGAGTTATGTTCTGAAGAGAATGAAGAATGAATCTAATAAAGTATTAATATCAACAGAAGATAATGTGGAATTTGTTGTAAATGAATAAAAAGATAATGGATCAGAAGGGTAACCAACTATTACATTTGTTCTCATTTGGTCACTTTCCTTTTTTTGTACTCAATATACCATCAAACTTGTTTGTGTTCACCATAACCCTTTGACCGGCTATCTCAGGTCAAAAGCCGGTCAAAAGAATTAAGTTGAACACGAACAACAAGTTCGATGGTATATTGAAAAAAAAAAAAAAATCAAATGAAAACAAACGCAACAGTTAGTTACCCCGCAAGAGTGACTTACGCTAAGAGCAAATAGAAACCAAACACATCCATTCATAGTACATGTGCCCATAAAACCGGCCATCCCCAAAAATCATTCACAATTACCAAGTGATCAGCTCAACTCAATAGAAGAATTACATTCAAAATACAACTTCAAACTAACTCAGAAGTCCAAGTAGTTCAATTAAAACAAAAAAAATAATAAAAACTAAATCCACGGCAGCAAATTGCAATATATAAAATAGAAAAAAAAAAAAAAAAAAAAGAAATAATCCCAAATGCGACGCAATTGCAAGCCCCTGTACACCAAATCTTGTACTGCATCGGGGAAAAGCAAATCTTGACTTTTTTGTCCTCAGGTCAAAGATAGAGAGAGATAATGCACAACACGATCTGAATTCTAAAAGAATGCATGAAAAATCAAATGAACCCAACCAACCAACTATACTTTATACTTTGAGAGCCTCTCTTTTACAGGTGGCTCCAAAGCCGACATACACTGCTCCCATGCTCCATTCTTCAGCATCTGTCGTATATAATAATAAATCAAATTGTTGGAAATAACAACATATTTTAGTCTTTTTACCTAATAATACCAATAAGTAATGTGAAACATGTTAACAGTAATATTTATTCATTTACCCATAATAGTAATATACTTGCATCGTTTTACCATTAATAACAATATGTAACATATAAGTATACATCCCCCGTGTTTGTATAGCCAAAATGTAAGTAAGTTGCTATTAGGTGTAACAAATGTATAGTAAATTGCTGAGATGAGTAGAGAAATGTAAATAGATTAAAAAAAGTATCAGTGAAAAAAGAGAGATGAAAGATCATACCTGTTTATAACCAAGGAGTACCTGTGAAACATCATTGTGTAGCTCCTCGCTTCTAATTTCCTGCAAGTGTAAGTCAAAATAATATAAGTAGATGCATGGTAATGGTTGAAAAAAAAAAAAAAACTCACATGCCAACTAGCAATGGCTCTACACAAGAAAACAAGTGAACTTAAAGCCCCTGATGGGTTCACTTTGACCTGCAAAGCAACCAAACATAAGTAAGTTTCTGCTTCAAAAGAGTCAAAACCAAACAAAAGCAGATATGCATACCATTGCACAGAGACCTCGAAAAGCATCCTCCTTTTCAATATCATCCCGAATCCTGTTGATATAAAGAAATTATTAAATTTATATGATTTTTAAAAGGAAATGAAAGAAATAAATAAATGAGGTTGGACTCACATGGCTAAAGCAATACACCATGCTTGCATGAAATGCTCCATGTGAGGTGATACAAGCTCAGGACAAACCGATGCAAGTCTACCCAGAGTGATTGCACTATTTTCAATCAGTGACTTATTAAGCCCCTGAGAAATAACATCAACAAACACTAGATGATGATGATGATGATTCAGATAATAAACAAAATCATATAGAAATAAAATGAAGCAATAAAACACAAAACAAATAAATCACCTCTGCGTGTTGAAGGATTGGGACTAAGCATGATATTACTGTCATCACCACTGGAGAAATTTCTTGATTAACCTGAAGCAATTTAAATTTAAAGTTTAATTAGAATCAATTGTTTTTTTATTTTATTTTTTTAAAGATATCTGACAATTTGTGTAATGCAGCACCTTAATTGCAAGCTCCCCAATAGCCCAGCATGCATTGTTTGCCACAGAAATGGTTTCCTTCAGCTTGGGTGTATTCTGCAAGATGTGTAAATTGGTTTTTTTTTAAAAGACATTTGACATTTATAAAAAAAAGACATTTTTGACATTTGACACCATACCAGTTGCTTAGCAGAAACCTCAAGAAACTCAGCCAGGCGAGGGCGCAAATGAATTGGACAAACCTAAAAATTTGAAGTCAACTTTTAATGTGATAAAGGCAACATAAATCATTGTTAACAACTAGGCTTAATGAGATCGGAAATTCCCAAATTACCCTTGCAAGATCTCCGAGCAAGGCAAATGCACTTTGACGGATATCAGAAGAATCATCCAAGCAACATTGCAGAAGGAGATCCCTTAAGTTACTTTGTGAAACCTGTAGAAGAAATAAAATGATCAAAATCCTGTAATTTATGAATATCTGAAATTCATTATGGTGAAAAGTGAATACCAGACTCTCGATTCCACTACCAAGACCTTCGGTGAGTCCAGAGAGAAGATCCAATGAACAAACTACAAATTCTTTGTCAAATTGGACTCCAGCTGTAGCAGGATCAACCTGCAAAAACAATACACCAGATTAATCAGAAGCTGTATATGACATGAGTGATTCATAAAACAATAAAACTTTGTATCTACAACCTTGGCAAGCTGTTGAGTATGGATAATGTCTAGGCATCTCTGGAAAACAGGTTGTGAAAACTGTGCAAATCCACTACCCAATGCCTGAAAGACAATGAAACATGTTATTTTTCTAACAATAAATAATCTGATAACATAACGTATACTTGTTTGTTGTCCAATTTGTAGTGTACGGGTTCTAAATATATGCATACACATAAATTTTTTTGCAGTCGCATCTAAGATATAATTATATTTATCTTTCTGTTTTTTAAAGTTTAATTAATATTTTTTTCAACTTAAAATGTTATATAAAGTGTATTTCAGATGTAAATAAACAATGGAGAATTGAGTGTTTTGTAGGGTTTTTTTAGTTTAGTCTTAATTTTTGTATGTATTAAAAATGGTGCCGGAAAAATATGCCGCCACTTCACCACCACAAACCAGCAGTTTGTTTGAGGTATCAACTTCACCAACCACCAAGCATTATTAAGAATCAATCAAACACCATAAAGATTGGTGAAGGTAGGTAGGCAATCAAAATCTGGATAGGTGGATGGTGTAGTGGAAGATGAAAGAGCCATCCATGTTCAACCAATTAAAAGCAAGCAGGTGGATGGATATGAGCCAATCACATGTCAGGGTAGTAAGTAGATCATGGTCTCCAAAATGGTATGGGAGACATGCTCATGTAATGACACCAAATGCATAGTGGAGACAAGTCCTCAGTGGGAGACAAGCATAGACACATGGAAAGCTCCCATTGGTTCAAAATACTAGGCCATTTTAATGGGATGTTAATGGGGCTCAGGTTTTCAGGCCAAATGAAGAGGATCTCATGGGACACGTGGAACCTACCTTTATTCAAATACCTTATATGGATGATATTTTATTGGAAAGAGATTAGTTTCCCCATAGTTAACTATCACATTCGTAATTTATTGATAAACTGTCCTAAAAGATGTCATGATGAAGGATCAAAGCTTTTTCTTTTTCAAGTTTGATGATGAGCAGGGTATGCTGCATGTTTTGGAGACTGGACCTTTTTTTGGACCGGGCCGGGCTTTATCCAAAGGCCTATTATTTTTTGGTTTTTTATTTAAACACAAACAACCGTTGGGTGGAAGAGTTCTTTTTCATATTTCTTTATCTTTGTTTTACTTTTTGTCTTTTCCTATGTTGTCTTTTCTTATTTCCTATGTATATAATATAAAAATAGTTATCCAAGTATACTTTTGTAATTTTTATATTAATTCAAAATATGCATTTTTTGCAACTTTTTTATAAGTTTTTGTAACTTATAATGTTTACAATTAAACTGATAAGAAACAGAAACAATACCTGTGCTATGGATGTAAAGCACTCCAAAAGTGGGAAAAGATCTTTGTCTGAATTTGAAAGTTGCTGCCATTTTGCAATCAATGGTGGCATCAAAATTTCAAGGTATTTAGGCTGCAAATCACAATCATGTTAACCATGTAAATGAAATCCATTCAAGCTTTAAACTCAAGATAAAACAATGAAGTAAAAGATAATATAAAACATAGCCAAGACCATAAGGCTGCATTTGTTAGATAGGACATGAGGAGGGCATTCACGTCTTTTTCCCAGACGAGAAATCAATAGCAGGTCTCTTGTCCAACATTGTTCCATGTTTTCATGTGGAACAAAAAATTTACAACATTTGTCCAACATCAATATGCATTACCTGATTCAATTCCCCTCCAACTGCATCTGCTAAAGTACCAATGGCATCATAAACAATTCTGAGATTCCTCCTCTACATACACCATGAAAAACATGAAACATCAGATAAAGTGAAACAATGTCTTTGTAAGCAAGATCAACACATGACTCTGAATCAACCTGATATTTCCCAAAGGCGCACATTAGGTGCTGCAGTATGATCTCCAGGCGTGGTCCCAATTCATCAGCAGCTTCCTGAAAGTTAATAATATTTTAAATTATATGTTTCATTTTCCGAATTCAGACCATTGAAGTTATGACTTATTGTTTCCTTAATAACCACCTCTTCAAGAGTTGCAAAAGCTGAGCAAGCAGCCTCCTGCACACGTTTGTTATTATCCAAGATTCTTCTTAGAAGACCTGTCAGAACTTTTTCAAACTGTTCATGTCCCTCTGGATGACCAATGCCCTGAAGCAGAAAACCAAATAACTGATCAACATCTGATTTTCAGAGTACATTGTCTCTAAAGACTCCATATGAGAAATTGAAAATAACATGATGAATTACAAATTCAATGATCCATGTTCAGATAATTTTGAAAATAATGTGATCTCATAAAAGCGAGTGATACACTGATACTATAGTTAAGTATATACGAAAGGATCATTATCATACCTGAACAATAAACTTGCTAAAACGCGAAAGTGTCCAACAAGAAATGCTTCTTATCAAAGGAAACTTATCATCCAAAAGGGGGATGAGGAAGGCTACAATCTGCAACAAAATAATTTTTTTAAACATTGTCAATCTTTCAACTTCAAGAGGACACTAAGAACCATAGAAAAATAAGTCAATGAAAATATATCCTCTATCTGACCAAAGAACATTTGTGCTCGAAAAAGTATATAAATTTTATCATAAATCGTAATACTGATATCAGTTTGTTCATGCATTCAACATCATATAATGCCTTGTATAATCTCAGGTTTAGCAACTATGGAGCTTACCTCTGAGAGATGAGGATAAAGACCATTAATGCAACCTTCTGCTATAGCACCAAGAGCTAAAACTGCAGCCTCCCTCTCTTTCCAGCTTTCATCATCTAACTTGGATAACTTAGCCTACACAGACCATAAAGTTGCATGTTTTTTCATGATTAATAAGCAAACCAATTGCAAACAAATAGCTTAATCAAACAGTTACCTGGACAAAAGGCATTAAAGTTGGAAGAATCTCATCTCCAAACACATTAGAGATTATATCCAAGGCAGCAGCACTGCACTTTCGGAGGTTCCATACATTCACTATGTCATCATCCTATAATTGCATGTACAAAAGTGTCATCAATAACCATTCTTAATCAAAAACCATCACATCAGCTGATTGAGTAAAATTTTAAAAAGAAATATCAACTCTCAGAAAGAAAGATGCCACATACATCATCTTCAGCATCATCGGATCCATGAAAACGTGATGAATGAAAACGTGGCTTCAAATCCTGCATAGCTAATGTAAATAAGAAAATTGTTCAAGAATCATATGCTTTAAGAAGCATATCCTAAAGAGGTCTAAATAGAGACAGAAATCAGAACCTGGTCACGATCTGGAAGAGAGCCATCGTCCTGCAATTATAAATTTAAGTTACGATCTGCAAAAAAAGTAGTCATGTATTCATAATTAAGAAATTCAGTGAAAAGAGTTGACCTCTGCATCAAGTAGTGACTCATCATCCTCAGCATAAGCCATGTTTGTCAATAAAACCTACCAATTACCCATATAACCATGAAACACATAGAGCAAAAGGTATAGACAATACACGAAAAAGAAGAAAAAAATTGCTAAAGAAATGAGGAAGGCTAACATACTGGAATCAGACGTGGCAAGAATGCTCTTAAATTCTCAGGTGGCAATGGAGCTTCACAGTATGCAGACCTACCAATTTAGAATTTTAGAAGGCTACCATAGAAAAGATAAGAAGTATAATAGACAAAAGATCATAGCATCATACTTTAACCAAATTAACTGTTTGACATAACGATTGATAGAGATTAAACTTCATCAAACCATAATTTTAATAATAGTATGAAGCTATTTAAGCATTGTTTCACGACATGAAGCCATGAAATTTCATAAAACTGACATATGTAGCAACTACATTTATTTGGAGCTGTTGTAAACATATAAAAATGGTTGCATAAATCATTTTTAGCATACTCATAATAAATAAAACATGAAAAGTCATGAGTATATGATGCATACTTTAAAAAGATTTAAAGACATGCAGATACAAATCATACGATATACCAATAAGAAAACAATAAAGAGAACAGTAGATGAATAAAATAGATTAAAAAAAAAAAATAGAACACAAAATAAAAGACAAAAGACGAGTAAAGCAAAAAACAAAACTTGAATGCAAGGGCATCATGTCCACTCAAAGAGGAAAACTATGTTTATTCCTTTAAATCATACTAGTAGTTAAAAGTTAATCAAATTTTTTATTAGCTTTGCAAGAAGATAGCAACTTAATAAACATTGCTAGGCAGGGATCATAAAGAGAGATATCCATTCATAACATCTGTACAACAGCCAAGTCCAGTTGTCATTTTCCTCGTGTCTTAACATCCCTTCAACAATTGTTTTAGCACCACATCAAGAGATATTGAGAATTCACAGTAAGCACTTCAAATAAGCAATCACAAACACCCCCTAAAAAGAGAAGGAATGATAATGGTTTAGAGGGCTCAAATAGATAACAGGTTACCAAAATTCGCAGGCTTCAAGTGACACTTCCTCATCAGGATCATTGTTCACTTGTAGCATGTATTCAATAACATTACGCAAATGTGGCTGCAGAGCACAAAATCATGTTGAACAATATGAGATAAGAAAGGGAAAGGTGATTCCAGAATTGTACATGAGCAAAAAATAGAAATGTACACTGAAACACTAATGCAACAAAAGAGCAGCAATATGTGTAAATAATGAATATGGGAAGTAAAAAAGAAAATTAAAACAAAATCCCACCTCAAGGAAAGAAGGACGAACTTCAATTAGCTGAACAAAAGCCGAACAAACCTATCCACCATGTGAGTAATTATTATTAATGATGAAAAGCAGCACTTGATAACTCCAATTCGAACAAAAAACAGAACCAAAAACTCATGAAGCTTATGATTGCAAAACTCATTATAAAGAAAAGATGTATGTTCCACAAAACTGCAGGCTGATCACAGCATAATTGTTCAAGTTTAAGACGCAAAGAAAAGTACAATCATCAAAAGAAAGAAAGAAAGAAACAGTTGTTAGTTCACAAAGATTTGGTATATAAGAACAAGAAAAGTGGCAACATCTAAAATGATTAAAAATTTAGTAAATACCCTTCTGAGCATAGGCTAAAAAGGGTAGATGATTTGATGCCAGGGAGCAGAAATATTTACCAATTTCCGTACTTCTGATGATGGATCATTTGCAAGAACAAACAAACCTTGGAGGTAACTGTCCATAGACATGTACAAAACCTGCAAAAAAGTTTAAGTGTCTGCTGCTTAGTATTTTCTGCAGTGGCAATTTAAGTAATTTAGTCAAAAGTTAAATGTCCAAATAACTTTTACCGGTGGCATCAACATAATGTATTGATTTACAGAACCCAACGCAAGCTTTCTAAGTGTGGCATGTGGAGATTGAAACAACTGTACAAAAAAAAAAAAAAAAAGCACCACTTAAGATCATGAGATATTGAAAAAGAACAAATGTTCAAAAAGAAACAAAAACTAAGTAATCATAATAACAAGAAAAAGGTGTTACCTGGAGTAATCTTGGGAGGAATACATCAATGGGCCTTTCAGATGATCCAGGATTTTCTGCATCCAGCACTTGAGGAATATCTTCACAGATCTGAAATTTATAGCAATTTCAATATGAAAGTGAAATCTTTTCAAAAAAAAAATTAAGATGACATGAAGATGTAGACAAGAGATACCTTAGATAAAGCATCCATGGCACCTTCCATATGGGTTAAGTCACTACTATCCAAGCACTTGACAAGGGTATGCAGCAACTCAGGCCATCCTAAAACACCTCCAAGTTGAACAAGAACACTAATGATGGTTCCAGATGTAGATCTGATCTGTCTATCTGATGCTCCTAAACATGGTAACAGCTCAGCTTTTATGTATTCCTGATTTATTGGAGGCATGGACTTGAATGCAGTTTTAAGATTATTTTTCAGAAGCAATCCAGCTGCCTGTCTGACCTCCACTGGTTTACCCTGTAAATTATACATGTCATATCAACCCAAAGAACACGCATATCAAAGAACTTTCCCCTTCACCTAGTCACTCTTGCAAACAAAAAAATAAACACCATCAATATGAAACCAATAAAGTGATATGGAAAAGGATGACAGATTTAAGGAAGACTATCAAGTATTGTATTCTCTACAAATGCATGGGCATAGCTATCTGCTTTTGTGAATTTCAAGCAAAGTGGTATATAAAGAAAACAGCTATCGGTTTTTTGTTTCATGATAAATTCCTAATGAGTAATTACTGCTAACAATTAACTCACGTCTTAGACAAAAATCCATTATAAGTTGCCTTAAACAACTGCTTGTAAGTATAATCAACTCCTAGTAACCAACAGTTTCATGATAAATTCCTAATGAGTAATTACTGCTAACAATTCACTCACGTCTTAGACAAAAATCCATTATAAGTTGCCTTAAACAACTGCTTGTAAGTACAATCAACTCCTAGTAACCAACAGTTTCCCTTTAAGTATAAACCAACCCAATCGACCTAGATTGCATATGAAAATCCTCGATAAAATTATCATTTATAACCATAATATGAAATATCAAATGCTTAGAGTCTAATAATTTACACCATGTTCGGTTGTTGATTTGTAGTTTTCTGACTTTTGCCCATTGCAACTTTTCAACATAAAAAGACTCTATGGCCAACCTAGTTTTCGGAAACAAGTAGGGAAACCTAAAAGTAGAATTGGAACTAGAAGATAACTTCCTAAAGCTCTGATCAACATAAAAGTCACTTCCAACCAGGAGAGAGCAATACCACTTCAACTTTGGATGAATAGACTCCAGGTTTCAAAAGATTTAGACATAAAGATTCAGTCTTGAAAGTGTATATATATATATATATATATATATATATATATATATATATATATATATATATATATATCAGCGACTATACAAATTCCAACTTCTGAACTTTAGTGCTGCTTTTCTAAAATGATCAACAATGAGGAGAGTAATTCCAAAAAGCAGCTTCCATGAATGCTTTTCTCAACATCGTTTTATTTAAGTTCAAGAAGTACAACAAGAAACCCTTACCCCAAGCTAGCGCAGATACTAAAAAATGAACTCAAAATATATCATAAGGCTATAAAACCCAAGCTTATCTAGGGTTCCTAAAACATGAACGGCATCCTTGCACACCTATCTAATGCCAACTTTAATTTATTCCACACGCTGAAAACTCTCTTCCCTGCTTTCCCCAATGTCAAACTTTGTCAACACTCTCCTGCCAATCTCCTCTTGCTACAAAACTCTTGCTCCAACTGGTATATTCAGAAGTCTATGTGCTAACACGTCATAAGATTTCAATTATAGAATTCTAGTTTACTTGGAAAAGATATCAAGTTAAGTACTGCAATCTGGACTACAGTACACGTAAAGTCAGTCTCAAATGATCAAGCATCATCTACAACTGATCACATCAACTAAAAACCCCACCGTATAATTAACTGGACCCCACAAAGTCCGAGGTCTCTATGGCGAACTAGGAGCAAAGAGATGTAATTTAACAGTAGCGAACCTAATCAAACCCTTGATATATCACCAAAAAGTACGAACAAAACCGAAATTACCTCAGCGCGTGCTAGGATGAAGGCGAGGTAATTATTGAAATCGGGAAACTGGGAGTAGTGTTGGAGCTGCTGCCATATCTGTGATTTATCGGAAGAAGGAGATATTTGTTGTTCTAGTAACCCACAGATCTCCTTGAACCCTCCTTCTTGAGGTTGCCATGTAGCCGCCGCCGCCGCCGCCATACTTGATGAGCAAAGGGTTTTTCACTTATTAGCAGGTGCTGATGCTAGATTGTGGGGATGGATAAAGGAGGGAAGGGGTTGAATTTGGTTAACAAAGATGTGAAATTTCTTCGTTTCAGAGATGCTGATGACGACTGCGCTCTGTTCAAATCACGAACAGGGGTTTCGGTTTTTGCCCTTTTCGTGGGGCTGTTCCCATTTTCTCCTCTTGTAATTTTCTTTTATTTTGGTAAACCCGTAATTTTAATAACTACACGAAATTTTTAGCCTAATCACTGAATAACCAAAATGGAAGGACAATATTGACTTTTCTTTAACAAGATTTTAGTAATGGATTTAAGAAGAAAAAAATAATTTAATGGTAATTGAAATTTAGGATGATTTAAGTTATCAAACCAATCAATGACCAACTTCATGTATAAAACTTAAGATTGCTTCAGTTGCAAAAGCACAAAACTAGGAATCAAAATCATGTCAAGCAAAAATATTTAAAAATAAACACGAAAATCTAAATATAAATAAATAAATAAGTTAAGTTGAAACGTAAACAGACACGAATTTATATTAATACGTACATAAAAACAATCTAGTAAGTTTTTTTAAAAATTAACGAACAAAAGTTTCAAATTTACATCGAGAAGTTAATCACCTCGAATTTATATCGAAACATACATAAAACAAACACGTAACAAATTAGTTTTTTTTTTTCTTAACCAATTTTATAAAGTTTAAAATTGACGAGTCAAAGTGACATTTTACAAAATCGATAGGTGGTAACTATAGGAGAATCAAATTATGTATATTAATTTATACTATGAAGGTAAACACCAAAGTTTATAGATTGATGGGATAAAAATGGTATTTTAGAAAGTTCAAAGATGAAAGTATAAAATGACATTTTAAAAATTAGAGGGTGGAAATAGAGTGGTGAAAGTGATCTTTTATAAATTTTAAAGTTAAATAAGTAAAAATGATGTTTTATAAAGTTTAGATATGGAAAGTTGTCATTTTACAAAATATAATAGTAGAAAATGTCACTAACTACAAAATAAAGGCATGAGAAAATCGATGGAAAACTCCACTCACTTTGGTTTTTAGACTAGATATAGTTATTGAATCAAATGTTTAGACTAGATATAGTCATTTTACAAAATATAATAGTAGAAAATGTCACTAATTTATTCCACACGCTGGATTAGATGTTTAAGCTTATAACCATTATTGGTATGTATTCGACCAGATAGTAGTATGGTCCATTTGGGTTGCATGGCATCGGAACAGTTGGATAGACGAAATGAGAAAAATGATACTAGTGATTTATATTAATATATTATAAGTTCTAAAATATTAATATGAAATCATATTATTTAATTAGTATTGATTTATAATTAATTTGAAATTAATTTAGTGATCAAAAGGCAACTAATTAAATATTGACTCTTATATATATATATATATATATATATATATATATATATATATATATATATATATATATATATATATATATATGGTGGGCCAAGTTCATTTTGGTTGGGCTAAGCTTGAATGGATAGTCCATGGAGTTTTTAACCCATGGATCCTATGGAAATGAAAGATCATGGGTATTAGGGTTTACATGAATGTAACATTAATCCTCCACACTATATAAAGAGGTCTATGGTTCATGAAATGACAATATTGTGTGAGAAAACAATAGTGGGTCAATTTCAAGTGTGGACCTAAGTATCCTTAATCTCAAGTTATTCCAAGTTGTTTTTGGTGTTATGTAATTCTATTTGAGGTGCAACACTTGGGCACTAAGCTCTTAAAGGTTCAAGACTTCAAGATCCATCAAAAGGTATGTCATCTAACTAGACTTTGTAGTATAGTTACTTTATATTATGCTAGTTAGGATTAAAACCTTAGAATGTTAAATATTTGCATATATAATAGAGAAAACATAGATCCAAGGTTTATATGGTTGCATGTACACCATAGGAGTGTTAGAAAGCTCAAAACCCATCAATGGTATCAAAGCATGGGCTTGTTTTCAATTATACTTGCTGACATGGGCTGAAAATCGAAGTTTATATGTTGTATGGTCAGTTGGCTCACCAATTCCATTAAGAGACTCGATGAATCCATGTGTAATTCATCCAACTCGTCGAGTTGGTTCATGTACTCGACGAGTTGGACCCCCTGACAACATATCTTCGAGTTTTAAGGCTGGAATTGGTCTAGAATTATTACCTTAAACTGTTTTGGATTTATAAAACATGTTTTTGATGTGGTAATGATTATGGTAAACCAATTTCAAGGTTATTATCAAAATTAAGTTTATGTGTGTTTATGTAATTCTTGAAATTGTTGATATGATTGTCCATACACTTATGAGTTATGGTAGATCATACGAATTATTTGCAAATTGTTGTTAGTTAATTCTTGATCTAAATGTGATTTAATGGAGTCCATAATTTGTCCTCAAGTTATGGATCACCAAAAATCATTTCTTTTAAAGATCCATCAAAAAGCCATAGGTTACATAATTGAAAAGTCTTTTTCTCATAAATAGTTTTATGGACTCCATAACTTGTCCTCAAGTTATGGATGTTCAAAAGTTTTTTCATTAAAGTTTTTAAAACCCTAATTAAAGTCATAAGTTATGAAAATCCAAAGGTTTTTTGAATTTTTCAAAACTTTTCCTCGAGTTTTGGAATTTGTAAAGTCTCACACACACTTTAATTTCAAACCCTAGAGTTTTAAAAGTTAAAATTCAACCCTTATACTTTATAGTATTATAAGTTTATATATATATATATATATATATATATATATATATATATATATATATATATATATATCAAGTTAGTCTTACCGTTAGTAGGCCTCATTCATGAAGTCGGTCCATAAAGGGGGTATAAGGTTACTGCCTACAAAAATGGCAATTTAATGGGTGTTCACTCTCACCTACCGCTTCCTTGACTGGTGGAGGGTCGTTAGTCGAACGAGTTTAACAGGACTCTAATTCCCCCTTTATTATAAGTATAATGATAAATATAAAGTAACTAAACCTTTTATAGATTCTCAATCTTAGTTACTTTTAGGAAAATGTGAATTTGGTGTTAACCCATGAAATTACACTTTTCACTTTGCTTAAGTCGTTAGTAGAGTGTGTGGTTAACCGACACATTAACTTGATTTTAACAAGGTTGGCAAAAGGTGGCTTAAGGTTTATCATAGATCGGTGGAGCGCGTGTGGTTAACCGACACATCGATTAAGTGATAAAAATTAAGAGTACCAAGTATATTTGCGTGGTTATTCACACCTTGTTTTGTGATCCTCGGCATCCCAGTCACAAAACTTGAGAAGGCACAATCGAGATTGAAACATGTCATTGAAAAGTTCAATGAATCTCAAAAGATCTAGGAGTTTCAAACTCAATTAAAACCTACTAAATTATTTCGTTTTCTTAGTGGAAATTGGTGAATCGTCATTCGCCTACCTTCAAATATTTTATAGCTTGGATTACGGCATCCCTCTTCCTAGTTATAAAATACTGTGTTGGGTCACAACCTTAATATTTCATATTGGATGTTCTAATAAGGACTTAAATCAACTAACTTGAATTTCTCCCATTGTAGATAAATATAAATAAGAATATTTGTGAAAAGAAACAAGTCTCTATAAGAGCATTGGGGGTATTGATCAACAAATAGACAACGATTTGACTATAAGGGCTGATTTAGAGTTGCAAACTAATATTTATGTTTACAATTATGGATTCAAATGTTTTTCAGGTAGTTATGCTGACAGAATGAAGGGCTAACTTGACTTTAACACATGTGCATCATTGTTGATTTATAAATTAGGTTTACGTTGATTTTATAATACTATTCAAATTTGGAAAACTATGTGTTACAGTGATTGAACGAATGGGTTTTTATGTTATCATTAGAAAATATATTTTTACAATGTTAGACAAATGGATTTTTTTTTTATTATATTTAGGAACGAATTTTGATAGTATACTCTTTTTTGAGAAAGAAAAATTAGGTTTGAAAATGGGACGTTACACATCATTTCTCACATTATATTCTCGCTTTGATATGTCAATTAACCACACATGCTCCATCAACATAACATAACAAAAAAATATGTGTTTGCATGGGCTTAAGACTCATGTTTTTCTATATTAATAAAATGGAAATTTTGTTTTAATATTTCAATTAATACTTTTAACTTGCAAACACTTATCCTATTAAACCCTTTCGCTAACTCCAATCTCAAAATGCAAATAGGCGGCGGAGGCTGTAAACCTAAGGGCTTTTAAAAACCAACATCACTAGGAGTCGAAGAATCCTCCTTAAACATTACATTGGGTCAACCTACTCTTAGCTTGACTGATAATGTTTCTGCTAAACATATGAGGACATATGTTTATAATAATTTCTTATAAATATAACAATCTTATTATAATATGTAGGCAAATTTAAACATTTTAAATTTCATCTTTTCCTTTTTAAATATTCAAATTTAATTCTCTATTTAAATAATATTCATATTTAAATTCCAATTTAAACAATATTAAAATTTTAATTAATTAAATATTCAGATTTAAAATCTTATTTGAATAACATTTAAAACAAGAGACATTATCCTTGAATTCGAAATATACCAAAAAATCTGAAAACTGAAAATCACGAGGATGCATCGCGCTTGCGATTATCATTTTCTAAATTTTGATTTTTTAAGCATTGCTCATAATTAAAACCTAAAGTCTCTGATACTATTATTGGGTTTTTAATACATCTATACACACTAGATTAGCACAGTGAAATAAACAAATTAATCCATATGTGTACATGTACCTTAGGATCTAGGTTTTACTAATTATAACAATCTACTTTCAAATTCAACTAAAGAAAGATAAGAACACTAACCTCTTGATATTTTTCTTGATAAATCTTGTAATAGATGAATGACCTAATCTAGAATCTCTTTAATGTAGTTAGACCCAAGACTCCAAGAAGCAAATAAGAAAACCCTATGAAGCAGATTTCAAATTTTCTATATCCTTAGAGAGAGGATATAAATTTTGAACTAGGAGAATATGGAGAGAGGGGAGAACGAAATTATGAGAGAAAAATGTTGTAGGGTTTATCCCTAACATCCTATTTATAGGCAACAACTTGAATTCTTAAGTTGATAACATGTCAAGGACAATCCTTATCATTATCCAAACCTATC